GGAGCCTGCTTGTCTCTGTACCCCTCCCCCTCCCCCTGCTCATGTGCGCAAGCTCTCTCTCTCTCTCTGTCTCTCATAAATAAAATCTTTTAAAAATTTTGTTTTCTTTTGCCATCACACAAAAGATAATTTGGGTCACAACTTTGGTCACAATTCTTTTTCCTCAGAAAACTTCTATTGTTTACTAAGAAGTTCAACTATCAGTCTAGTTTTGTTTCCATTATATATCACTTTTATTTCCTATCTTGGTGTTTGTAGGGTTTTGGTTTTATCCTTGAAATAAAGAAATTGTACTGGCATAAGTCCAGCTGTGTGTCTTTTTTCCACAACTCTGTCTTTTGATATTGAATCTTTTTGATCTTGATTCTTCAGTAAATATTCTCATGTTATCTCTGTTCTTACTGCTGCTCCTGCATTACTTCCTTTCTCTCACTTTGCAGGGGCAGAAACCAAGCCATAATACTGTTATGAACACCAACTTCAGACCAACCATATTTACCAAAATGGCCCTCTCCATCTGACACCAGTCAGAATCTTGGTGATGCCTATGTGGGGACTATACTGTCAGTTGCTGGTGTCTAGACATTGCACTATATTCCTCTAGAAATGGAAAGAGCACCTATCTTCCACTTCGGTATCAACGTTTTCCCATAAGAGTGCCAAAGCAGTACTGCTTGTGTTCAAATGCTTTAAAGGATTTTTAATGAAACAGTTTCATTAAAACAGATTTTCCTTATACTCTACTCTCCCATCCCAAGATATAGATACAAATCTAACAGAGACTGGATATGGCATGTAGACAAATCTTACTCATAAACACCACGTTGTGCTCTGTATTTTCCCCTGGACAGTGAAAGCTCTGTCATTAGGTCGGGCTGGTGTACTTAACTTTTAGTTATCCTAGGGTAAATTCTGTCTTCTGTAGAAATTGACTTTTTGGGGTTCCTGGATGACTCAGTTGGTTAAGTGTCCGACTCTTGATTTCAGCTCAGGTCTTGATCTCAGTGTTTGAGTTCAAACCCTGCATTTGACTCCATGCTGGGCATGGAGTCTATGAAAGAAAAGAAAAAAGACAGGACAAGACAAGAAAAGAGAAAAGAAAATAGGGAGAGAGGAGGAGAGAGGGAGGGAGGGAGGAAGGAAGGAGGAATGGAAGAAAGGAAGAAAGAAAAGAGAAAAAGAAGGAAGGAAGAAAGAAAGAAAAAGAGAGGAGGAAGGAAGGAAGGAGAGACAGAGAAAGAAAAGAAAGAAAGAAAAAAGAAAGATTGACTTCTGACATTATGGTAGATAGTATTTTCAAAGATGGCATAGTATCTGCCATTCCACATGCTTTTTCACAATATGAGCCTGTTACTGAGCTGGCCCTGTGACTGCCTTGACCAGTAAAATGTAGAGGAAGTTACAAGACCTGGCATTAAAAAGGCCTGGTAGCTTCTACAGTGTGATCTGCAGGAAGCCAGCCACCATGTACGAAGTTCTGAAATTACCATGCTATGAAGAAGTTGCTAAAGAAAAAGTTATTCTGACACTTGGTAAAATGGTAAGGAAGACTTTATTCAAGACTATTGCAATAGGGATATTGCAGTAGAGGAGAGGGATCAGCTCAACTCCAAATGCAGCAAAGACAGTTGGAGATTTATAACCAAAGAACAGAATGAGGGCATGAGTAGATAGAAAATTACTAAGGGTAAATTCTTGTTGAAGACAGGCCAAGGACTTACATATCAGAGATGGGGAATGAGGAATTTGATCAGATATTGAGGGTGATCAGATAACAAGGGTAAGGGGGGACACTCACCACATTTACTGTGATGGTTAATTTTCTGTGTCAAATTAACTGGGCTAAGGGATGCCCAGATAGCCGTTAAAGCATTTCAGGGTGTGCCTGTGAATTTGTTTCTAGAAGAGATTAGCATCTAATCAGAAAACTGAGTAAAGAATATCTGCCTTCACCAATATGGTCAGGCATCATCTAATCTGTTGAGAGTCCAAATAGAACAAAAAGGTAGAGGAAGAGCAAATTTTTCTCTCTCTTCTTGGACTGGGACCTCCATCTCCTGCCCTCCAATATCTGATCTCCTAGTTCTCAGATATCTTAACTCTTGGACTTACACCATCAGCTCTCCTGGTTCTCAGGCTTTTGGACTCAGATTGATTTATACCATCAGCTTTCCTGGTTCTCCAGCTTTCAGATAGCATATTGTGGCATAGTGCAGCCTCCATAATGGTGTGAGCCAATTCCTATAATAATCTCATATATCTATATATATACTATAGTTCTGCCCCCCTGGAGAACCCTAACAAATATACCTAATGTAGCAGTATTCTTGTTAAAATTGGGCTAGCAGGCAGAAGATAGAGCATGGGCCAAGGTCAAGGCCTTGTCAAAACAAGAGCTCAGAGGATCCTACCTAAGATTTGGTCAAGTAGCGAGCCTTTTTTTTTTTTTTTTAAAGATTTTTATGTATTTGTTTGAGAGAGAGAGAGCACAAGCAGGGTATGGGCAAAGGGAGAGGGAGAAGCAGGCTTCCCACTGAGCAGGGAACCCTACACCGGACTTGATCCCAGGACCCTGAGATCAAGACCTGAGCCAAAGGCAGACACTTAACCAACTGAACCACCCAGGTGCACCAAGGAGAGAGCCTTTGTCAAAGTTCAGCGTAGCCATATGGAAAGGCTACACCACAGAAAGAGGAAGGTACCGGCCAACCTTCAGCTGTTCCAGCCATACCAGCTGAGGCAGAGATATAGGAGTGAAGAAGTCACTTGGGATTTTCTAGCTCCACCAGATGCCATATAGAATAGGGATAAGCTGTTCCAGCTGAGCTCTACCCAAACTACAGTTTTGTTAGCAAATAAGTTGTTGTTTTAAAGCACTAAGTTTTAGGGTGTTTTGTTACATCATAATACACAAGTGAAACAGGCAAACCAAACCATGAGTTAGCCATACCCAAGCGTGCCCGAGTACTCTCATGGACTCTGCAGGCTTGGATAGCCCTGGTATACATGTCTGCCTAACAGTCTCACCCCTTAGACTTGTGAGAAACTTGAGCAAGAGTTATTTTATTATTTTTATCTGTATCCCTAACACTTCTCAGAGTAGCTGGCACAGCTTCTCAAAATGTCCTTGTTGGATGCAGTAGAAGCCATCAAGTGATTTGTAGTACAGATATTATCTAATTCACCATTTCTTCCCCTTATCACTTTTTCTGTCAAAGCTCACAGATCATCTTACTTACATCTCTGCCAGTCCCCTCCTGCCCCCACACACATATATATCACACCTCTTCTTTCATCCCTTTCTTCCTCCTTCTTCCAATTCTTATTCAACTATTTTGGAAAACTTCTCTTGCCCACCTTGGTCTTCTCTTTCCACTCCACCCTTACCCAGAAGCCTCAACCAAGGTTGAAAGGCTGGATTTAGTGGCACATCTAAATAAGGAAAAGGAAGACAGTTTGATAAAAATTAGATTTGAAAACCAGTGCCTCAATCTCTAAAGCCCTTTCATCATTTTCATTTCCACGTCCAACTTCATTCCCCTTTAAACCAACCTTTTGCTTGCTAATGCTTGCTTTTCCACAAGCATTAGCATTTTAAAACTTTGTATTCACTGTTTCTTTAATCATCAGTGCAGTAACAATATTGCTGTCTCCCTTCCCACCATCTTCTCCTTGTAGGATATTTCAACAATAGCGTAGAGTTAAATAGAAGTTATGAATCTAGCATACAATGACACTCAAAAATAACAGCTCCATCATTAACTCCCTTAGTGTTTATGAGCCAGGAAATATAACCAATTTTAATATTGGGTTTTTTGTCTGCAATTACGTAGGTCTAAGAAAACCCTATGGTAAATAGGCTACTGCATATATTTAACCTCAGACTACCTTGTTCATTCCCAGTTTTTCCATATGTATATGTAAAATGTTGATTTTCTGAAAAGAAGTATTTGAGTTTTTATGATGGAACTAAAGTATAAAAGCAAAATCCTAAAGCAGGCAAACTAGGTATTTTAAAGCTTAGTTTCATTTCAACCCTGTTCCGTTTTGTTGGTCATTGCATGAAGCTCTTCTTACAGGAATCATGCATACTTTAAGAAGTAAGACTTACGTATTTAAATCAGCACCAAACTAATCTGGTACTAAGAAACTACAAGGATGACTGAGAGGCGGGGATTGAGGGGATGGAGAAAAGTCAGGGGCTTCCAGACGGACCAGCTGGATATCTATACTCAGCCATCATTAGCCTGAATTGGCAAATTACCTAACCTCAGTGAGACTCAGGCTTTTGGGGGTGGGGGTGAGGGGGGTGTTTGTCTAGTTTGTTTTTTCATCTGTAATATTAAACATTTATCTTAACTTGCCCGGTTTTATGAAAAGTGCCTTTGTTGGTGTGGAATAAGCAACCACTACTCAAACAGGAGTGAAGGTGTATTCTGTTGATGAACGGAAATGCTGAAATAGTGCTTTGCAATTAACCTAAGGTATGCAAAAAATAATGAATTACAGGGTAGAAGGTGATCTTCTGAAGTTTAAAAAGGTGTATGGTCAAATTTCTAACATTTACACAGCTCACTGAAACAGTACCAGTAATTTTTCTTGTTTCACCACTATAAAACCCGTATTTGCCAAGTTGAAAGCAAACTGTGGGGCCCAGAAGCAGATAAAGATTAAACCTAAAAGGCATTTCCTTGCCTGCTCGGATCCGTGTAGACAGATCACCCGCGGTATAAAGCCTTCACCTAAGGGTGAGGGTGGCTAACACCATTCAAAGTCAGTGTGAAGTTGGACGTGAAGGACCCGTAAAAACGTAACCCCGTTTCAGCCGCAGCGTAGACTCTTAAAACTTTTGACAAGATTTGAGTAGGAATTTGACGCTTTCGTGGATCCTCTCGCGAGAGGAGAGGTTCTAACGCCACGTCAGAAACTAGAGACGCTGGCGCCGAGCGACAGATGCCGGAACAAACGATCGGCGAAAAGCCACGGACGCGTAGGCGCGTCCGTGGGCAGGACTTCCGCCGGAAGCCGGAGTTGTCCGCGAAATCTCAGATCCGAGTTCCGGGCGGTAGTTCCCCCGGAGGTCCTGGGTGGGCACTCTGCGGGCTTGGGTGAAGATGGCTTGTGCCGCCGCTCGGTCCCCGGCCGACCAGGACAGGTGGGTCCTGAGAAGGGGTGCTGCACCGCCCTCCCCATCCCCGAGAAAGGCTGGAGGGTGGAGCTTGGCTCCGGCCCCAGGCTCCGGGCCTCTTCCAGGTGTTGGTTCCTCCGGGTGCCCAGCAGCTCCAGGCTTTTCGTAGTGTCCCCGAAATTCCGACTCTAGATAGCTCACTGTCTGCCTGCACCTGAGACAAAGGACTTTGGGTGCTACGTGGACAGGACATTAAATAACAGACTCACAAAGTGAGAAATGTGTTCTTTTCATTGTTACGTTCAGAAAGGCACGTTTGGGTTCTTCCAAGTGTTCTGATACTTCTGATGGCGTGGTTTCTGAGAGCAGGCTCCACCCACAGGAACTTGATAGCCAGCTGTGTCTAACTGAACGGTGAAGGCATTGTTTTGGTTTGGTTTTAAACCTTCTCTAATAAGTGATGTTATTTTCCATCTGGGGTAGTAAACTAAAGTTTGCTTTTTAAGTAAGTTAAGTACAGGGGAGGCAATTTAAAGAAAAAATATTAAGCAAATAATAGGCGTGCTGGCTATCCTGATGATGATGAAAGAATGAATGAAATTTTGGCAATACTGCTCTAGTAATACTAGCTGTGCTTCTTTCTGTGGCAGGTTCATTTGTATCTATCCTGCTTATTTAAATAACAAGAAGACCATCGCGGAGGGGAGGCGAATCCCCATAAGTAAGGTAGGGTTTGCCTGTTGTTTTTTAAACCAAGGTTATGACAATCTTGCCCTTATAATAAAGGAAATGAAACTGTAGCATTATATGATATTATATAACTCAACTCCAGAATGCAGTTGAGTTATTAAACAAGACTTAAGGAGAATTTTTTTTTTTTTTTTAAGATTTGTTTATTTGAGAGAGAGTAAGAGGGGGGCAGGGATGGGGGGAGAGGGAGAGAGAGAGAATCCCAAGCAGACTCCCCATTGAGCGGCTCCATCCCACCACCCAGAGATCATGAGCTGAGCTGAAATCAAGAGTCCGACCCTTGGGCGCCTGGGTGGCTCAGTCGGTTGAGCATTTGTCTTTGGCTCGGGTCATGATCCCAGCGTCCTGGGATCGAGTCCCGCATTGGGTGCTTCTCCCTCTCCCTCTCCCTCTGCCTCTCTCTCTCAGTCTGTCTCTCATGAATAAATAAAATCTTAAAAAAAAAAACAACAGTCTGATTATTAACAGACTGAACCACCCAGGTGCCCCAAGACTTGCAGAGAATTTAGATGTGTTGAGTTCTATAGTTTATGTCCATAATCTTTTTTTTTTGAGGGGTAAAGTTTAAAATTAATACTCCTAAAAAGTAGGTGTTACAGTTTGAAAAAAATATGATTTCTCCCTTGTGCTGTTTGAATGGGAAAATTCAAGTTCTCAGTTGGCGTGGTGACTTGTTTGGAACGTGCCTAATGACAAGCGAAGGGTCTTTGTAGCTTTTTATTTATTATTTTTTAAGATTTTATTTATTTATTTGACAGAGACATAGCGAGAGAGGGAACATAAGCAAGGGGAGTGGGAGAGGGAGAAGAAGGCTTCCCGCAGAGCAGGGAGCCCGATGTGGGGCTCGATCCCAGGCCCCTGGGATCACGACCCAAGCCGAAGGCAGATGCTTAATGACTGAGCCACCCAGGTGCCCCTGTAGCTTTTTATTTTCAAAATTGATGTCATATTCTGTTTTTTAAGAGTTACTTAAATTTTGTAATCTAACAACAGATTCAAGGTAACTTGGCCTAAAGCAGTGCATTATTTTTGTGTTATTTAATGTCTCCCATTTTGCTGTTTAAATATATCTAAAGGAAAGTCTCCTCTGCTGCCCCAGGGTAAAAGAGACTACCAAAGCACTCATTCAGGAAAATGCCTGACATCAAGCCACTGTGACAGAGGCCTCTGGTAGCAAGCTCTCACATAATTTGGAGAATAACTGAATTGTTTTTAACTTTATTGGTGTACAGCATACACACAGAAGTATACATAAGTCTGAAGTGTCTCTCTTGATTAACCTTTACAAACAGAATACACATGGGTAACCAAGCAACCAAATTAAAAAAAGAAAGCTCGATCAGCACGCAGGAAGATTCCTTTGTCTTCTCACAGTCACTTCCCCCACCACGTAGACTCACACACAAGGATAACCGTATCCTGACTTCCAACGCAATAGATTACTTTTGCTTGTTTTAAAACTTTATTTAAAAGGCATTATACACTATGTACTTTTGTATGTCTTTTTTCACTGAACTTTAAGCTTAAATTTATTCACATTTGTTAGTGTAGTTTGTTAATTTTCATTGCTGTGTAGCAGGGTTTCTCAACAGCAGCACCATTGACATTTTGAGCCAGGTAATTCTTTGTTATCAGGGCTGGTGTGTGCATTTTAGGTTGTTTAGCAGCATCTTCAGCCTCTACCCACGAGATACCAGTGCCTTACCTGACTCCTGTGGCAATTAGAAATGTCTCCTAACATTGCTAAATGTCATGGGGCAGAATTGCCTTGCTGAACCAGAATGTAGTACTGAATTGTATAAATATATCACAGTCCATCCTACCATTGATGGATAATTGGGTTGTTTCTAGTTAGAGGCTGTTATATATATTACTGCTGTCAACATTCTTGAGTTTTTCTTCTAGGAAACATGTATTTTTTTTTAATTTATTTATTTGACAGAGAGAAAGACTGTGAGAGAGGGAACACAAGCAGGGGCAGAGGGAGAGGGAGAAGCAGGCTTCCTGCCAAGTAAGGAGCCCAATGCGGGGCTTGATCCCAGGACCCGGGGATCATGACCTGAGCCGAAGGCAGACACTTAACAACTGAGCCACCCAGGTGCCCCATAGGAAACATATTTTTGTATCGTTCTTGGATATGTACGTAGAAGTGGAATTGCAGAGCCATAAAGAATGCATATGTTTAGCTTTAGTGGATACTACCAAACAATTTTCTAAAGTGGTTGTATCTATAATAGTTGTTTAATCAGTATTCATTGAGCACCTACTATGTTCCAAGCATCATTCCAGATACTTGGGAATATACAGATAAACAGAACAGTCCCTGCCTTTGTGAAGTGTATGTTCTGTTGAAAGGGAGATGGACACACAGTATGAATCAGTGTTATTCCTGTACTTTTAAAAATTACAGTGGAAACAACCATACCTAGTGACAAAGGAAATCTAAGGTTTTGATAACTGTTGTCATCCTCATATTTGAAATGATTTACACAACAATATAGTAGTATCCACTGAAGGTAAGCTATTTAGTGTTTTTGTTTTTAACTGTTCAGGCTGTTGAAAATCCTACAGCTACTGAGATTCAAGATGTGTGCTCAGCAGTTGGACTTAATGTATTCCTTGAGGTAAGAGGGTTCTTTCTTCACTATTTTTCCTACTGAATCTCATTGATGTAACAACTTTTTAAAGCCTGTTTTTTTGTGTGTGTTTTTTTGTTTTTTGTGTTAGAAAAATAAAATGTACTCTAGAGAGTGGAATCGTGATGTTCAGTACAGGGGCAGAGTCCGGGTCCAGCTCAAACAGGAAGACGGCAGCCTCTGTCTCGTACAGTTCCCATCACGTAAGCTTTTTTAAAAAATGAACAAATAAAGTTTGGCAACAGGGTATTCCTCTACTCTGCAAAAAACATTCTAAAACTGACCCCTTTGAAAGGTAAAAATAATAATTTGCATTCTGCAGATGAACTTAGGAAAGGACTACTGCTGAGGAGAGGAAAACAGTGGTTCTCACGCCTTTTAAGCTAGGGACCTCTGAGAATGTGATGAAACCTAATCGTCTGTCCAAAAAATTTGTTTTGTGAACTTCTTATAAACCTCTGGAAGTCTGTCATTACTCTCAGGTTAAGAGTGTAGAATTATTGAGTGGTCAGATGTTAATTGCCATTTCAGATCCTAGAGGACTTTGAGGCCTGTTAATAATTTCTATCATTAATCTAAAAGCCATACTGAGTGAAAACAGCAAAAGAAATGCATAGTGTGGTACCACTTCAGTACATTTAAATACAAAATGTTACTGTTTATTGATGTATATGTAATATTGTTTATTGATATTATATATATAAATTTTATTTAATGGACTGGAAGAAAACCCCAGTCTTAAAATAGTAGGTAACCTAATGATGATGAGCAGGGAGTGGGGAGTGGGGCACAGGAATGGTGGTCAGAGAAGACTAACATTATCTCTAGTGTTTTATTTCTTAAAAAAAAAACAGTAACCAAATATCAGTATTGCAAAATAATTAATTCTGGGTTTGGGGAAGATGCACATGATTCTTTTCTGAATTCTTTATTTCTAAAAACTGTAATTTTTTAAATGGAACTGTTATTTTTTTTCTTGTCACAATAACCCCAAGCTGACAACTAAATGGTATTTATTTATTTGTTTGTTTGTTTGTTTGTCAGAAAGAGAGCGCGAGCACAAGCAGGGGGAATGGCAGGCAGAGGGAGAAGCAGGCTTCCCGCTGAGCAGGGAGCCCAGTGCGGGGCTCGATCCCAGGATCCTGAGATCATGACCTGAGCCAAAGGCAGACACTCAACCAACAGCCACCCAGTGTCCGCTAAATTAAAATACATTGGTTTTTCCTTTTTTTTAAGATTTTATTTATTCATTATGTCAGAGCAAGAGAGCGCAAGCAGGGGGAACAGCAGGCAGAGGGAGAAGCAGGCTCCCCGCTGAGCAAGGAGCCTGGTGTGGGACTCGATCCCAGGACCCTGGAATCATGACCTGAACCGAAGGCAGACACTTAACTGACTGAACCATCCAGGCATCCCTAGATTGGTTTTTCTATGCTAAAACCTGTCCAGATTGGTAGATATTTCTAGAAACAAGATTTTGACTCTGGAGTAACAGGTAGTATGTTACGGTGTATTTCTTCTTCTCTTGGACATCTTCCTTTACTATTTCTTAAAAGTCAAAAGACAGGGAAGCCTGGATGGCTCAGTTGGTTAAGCATCTTCCTTTAGCTCAGGTCATGATCCTAGGATCCTGGGATCGAGCCCTGTCTCCGGTTTCCTGGTTAGGGGGGAGTCTGCTTCTCTCTCTCCCTCTACCCCCTCCCCCACTTGTGCTTGCTCTCGCTCTCTCTCTCAAATAAATAAATAAAATCTCAAAAAAAAAAAGTCAAAAGACAAATCAAGAGACAAAAAACTTTTAACTTGACCAGTAAATAAACTGTAAGTAAAAATTACAGTTGAAAAATGTTGCTCCCAGTTTCCAATAAGAAAAAAGTAAGAAAGTAAAAAGGGAAAAACTAAGGGGCTCTGTGTGTTGAAAGTAGCTACTAGATCTGGAGGAGGTAGTTAGTGCACAGAGCAGGGTACCTGTACACATTAAATCATCTGGGCATGTGAGTAATATCTTTTGTAGCTTGATAACATTGGTTTTTTGTTATAAGATGGAGCGGCCCTGTGTTTCTTTAGCTTAAGATATAATGATATCCTGACTCTGTTTCCAGATTGTTGTATTTAGACTAGATACTCTCCTTTGATCTTGAAGTCAATTATAGAACCAGGACCAAAATTTGTGTTTCAAATAAAGTGTTTTAAGTTTTGATTTTGTTCAATTAAATATTTCAGTATTATTCTTAGCACATTTTCTCCAGGAAAGCTCCCACTTGAGTAAGTCATGTCTTTGTAGTGTTTTTTTGTTTTGTTTTGTTTTGTTTAAATCCTTGTCATTTTCCTGATGTGATTTTCAAGTTAATGAGCTTGTTTGTCTTATTCCTTAGATTGTACACTAAGCCTAACTTCTTGTTCCTAGGTAAGTCAGTAATGTTGTATGTAGCAGAAATGATACCCAAACTAAAAACAAGGACACAAAAAATAGGAGGTGGTGACCAAAGTCTTCAGCAAGGAGAGGGAAGTAAAAAAGGGAAAGGAAAGAAGAAGAAGTGACCGGATATGAGTCAATCAAGTCTGTGGTACTACTGTGATAGACAGTGAATGAAGGCTTCTAATTTATATCTCAGAAATGGAAGCTTTTTATTTGCATCATTTAACCGAACTATGGACATCTCTGCCTCCCAGCTTCAGCATCAGAGTTGACAATGAAATAAATATACATCAGAAGTTTGCATCTAGCTTTTATGTAGTATAAAGGAAATTTTTTTTGCCTATCAACACAGAGTTTTTGTGGAAGAAAGAAGCATATTTTTAAATGGACAATGGACTCTACCATAAGTTGCTTGAAATCCTGTATCTGTCCTGTGTGTAAACATGTTTCAGATAAATGAGTTCAATTAAAGATTTGAAATACACATTTTCTTCAGCATTTAAGTTAATGAAATAAAATTTGACTTTTGTGGCTTTTGCTCCTTTGCTTATGAACTAATTAATGCTAGTAGAGGAGATAATTTAAGTGAATAAAATGGGTAGTGGAAGCTTAGTGTGAGCTTAAAACTAGAAGAAAATGGTTAAATCCTCTTGGACATCTACTGATCATATTATTTTAATCAATTGTAATTGTTCAATTACTAGTTTTTTGATGTATGGAAAGTCCTGGACGTTAAGCTTTAGATTTGCTTATTTTGTAGGCTTAAGAACATTATTTTAATTGGAGTTCTAAAATTACCCATGCTTGGGGTGCCTGGGTGGCTCAGTCGGTTGAGTGTCTGCCTTCAGCTCGGGTCATGATCCCAGTTGGGCCCCGCGTCAGGGAGCCTGCTTCTCCCTCTCTCTCTGCCTGCCACTCTGCCTACTTGTGCTCTCTCTTTCTGTCAAGTAAGTAAAATCTTAAAAAATAAAAATAAAATCACCCATGCTTTAACACCTTGAGATGTACTTTTTTTCAAGAAACTAAATTGGATCGAAGATTCTGACTTTTATTCCAAAGCACTGTTTCTGAAAGTGGTAATTTTGTGTAAGATTTAAGAGAATCCCTATCCAGCCACTTGTTTTTGTCTACTGAGCATCATTTGGGGAACTGCCTTCTCTGACTTCATATGCTTCTGGAAGGGCTATTAATTACAGGACTGCCTCTTGACCACAGTGTATGACCCAAGCCAGGCCAATGGTTTATTTTTCAGGAATTCAAATCTGTAACAGAAATACAGACATAAAGATGCTGGGAGCCAAGATATATAATGGTCTACAAATTTGAGTTATCCGAGTCCTGTTCTTGTGGCCTGGTTTGGCTCTTCTGTGAATTCTGTCAACTGTGCTTTATATCATTCTAGTAAATCCCATTTTCTTTAAGTTTTTATTGCTTGAGATAAGAAATTCCACTTGGTTACAAAATAAGTGAACCCAGTGTTTCAGAGCTTTAAGTGGACTTAAAACACCCAAGCTGTATGAAGATGATCCATGGATGTGCAGGAAGAAGATTAGAATCTTCACTTTTTTCTCTAATAATTTCTGTCGGTAACATGTCTTAGAGTGAACATAATGGTATAGCAGTTTATATATTTGACTTATAAGTAAATACTGGGGCAGCACATGCAAAACAAGATTCAGAGCAACCCTCTGGGAAAATGTATCAGGAATGTGCGTAACAAAACAATGAACTTAATCAGGAATAATTTTTTCCTTGAATTAACATGAAGTCCAAAAGTTACTACAGGTATTAGTTCAGCTGCTCACTGACACTCTCTTTTCTCTTTCCACTCCACTATCCATGGTTTCTAACACCTCTGGGATTGTTGTCTGAAGCTTATAAAAGGGCTGATAGAACATCGAATGTCACATCAGAGTTCAGGGTAGAATGAAGAGATAGCTGTGCCAGCCAGTTCTGTCCCCTCTTAAAAGGAAAGCTAAAGATTTCTCAAAATCCCTCCCAGCCAACTTTCATTTAAGTCTCCTTGTTGAGTACTGTGGCTCATGTCCATCTTCAGCTACATGAGAGGCTAGGAAAGTGACTATATAGCTTTCTCAGTAATGAGAATAGTCAGCCAAAGAAGAAAGTTGACACTGGATATTGGGGCAGTCAAATAATTTGTCACAGAAAGATGACCAGAGTCTAAAATTACTTTGGTTATGGGGCAATAAAGAGTGTCAGAAAAGGTTTCAGAACTCTTGCTGTAACATTGTATTGCTGTTTCTTCACATTGTTGCAATCATTGCATAACTGAACCTTTCTTAAGTAGAAAATAGAATCTTTTCTAGTGAGCAAGACTGAGCACTTATGTTGAAATGCCATTTGTATTTATTTCAGTGATTGCTGTTTACATCCTTTGCCCCCTTTTTAAGGACTTTATTATTATCAGTGTTACATATAATTTAAAGAGCTAGCTAGTTTTAATAGTTTCGGTTTTAAGTGTTAATTTTAATCTGTAGAAGAGGACGATTTAGTTTTCCTTCCTTTACCCCCAACATATGCTTCCCATCCTCCCTCCTACCAATATATTTCTTGATTTTAATCACTATTCATAGTTTACATTACTATCCTATATTTCATTCATAGCTGAACCATGTAGTACTTTGCTACTCAAAAGTGTGGTCAGGGGTCCAGCAGCACTGGTCTCCCCTGGGAGCTTGTGAAAAATGCAGAAACTGGCCCAGCCCAGAATGTAAAAGATCTCCAAGGTATTCTTAACGCACATTAAAGTGAGAAACACTGAAGTATGCTATTGTTATTTTTGTTTTCTGGATTTGTGTGTTCCTCAGAGCTAATTTTTTTTTTATTTGAATATCACTAACTCAACCACAAATTACCAGTTGTCAGAATGTCCTTTCAAAAAGTTTGGGGCATCTGGGTAGTGCAGTCAGTTAAGCGTCTCATTCTTGATCTCAGCTCAGGTCATGATCTCAGGGTTGTGGGATCAAGCCCAGAGTCGGGCTGTGCGCTCAGCATGGAGTCTGCTTGAGATCTCACTCTCCCTCTGCCCCTCCTTCTTGTGCCCTCTCTCTAAAATAAATCTTAAAAAGTTTGTTCAAGGGTACCTGGGTGGCTCAGTCCATTGGGCATCTGACTCGATTTCAGTGCAGGTCTTGATTTCAGGGTATTGAGTTCAAGCCCCATGTTGGGCTCTGTGCTGGGCATGGAGCTAAGTAAATATGTATGTAAGTACATAAGTTTGTTCACATCAGATAGTTTAATGTCATCTTTTTAAAGAAGTCTCTTCTGGAGCCTTTTACCCTCTCTACTTACAACCCTTTAGGCCTAGTGCACAGCTACACTCTATACATGGTCCTCTGACTAATGTTATAGCTGCAGGGAAGTCCAAGCCATTGTAGTTCATGTGTTTTTGTGTTTTGTTTTGTTTTTAGTTTATTTGAGAGAGAGAGAGCGGAGTGAGAGAGAGAGCATGAGAGCACGAGTGGGGAGGAAGGGCAGAAGGAGAAGCAGATTCCCCGCTGAGCAGGGAGCCCTATGTGGGGCTCAATCCCAGGACCCCGGGATCATGACCTGAGCCGAAGGCAGATGCTTAACTGACTGAGCCACCAAGGTGCCCCAGTTCATGATCTTTTGTCACCCACAATTTTCTTGTTGAAACTCACCACATCTCAGAATTCTAAAATATCACAATAGTGTGGTTTGTGTGGGCCCTTTTTTGTCTATTGTGCTGGGTACCTAATGGGCCCTTTCAATTTGGAAACTTGTGTTCTTCAGTTCTGGGAATTTTCTTGAAAATTTCATCAATGGTTTTTCTACCGTTTCTGATCTTGGAACTCCTTATTTGGATATTGGACATGCTGGACTGGTTCTCAAGTTTTCTCATCTTTTTTTCCTCTTATTTCTGTTTCTTGGCCTTTATGTTCTATTTTGAATTCCTTAACTCTGTCTTCCAACCCCTCTGTTGAACTTTTCATTTTTCTTGTATTTTCAACTTCTCCAAGCTCTCTTGTCATCTGAATATTTCCTTTTTCTAGCGTTTTTTTTTTTTTAAAGATTTTTATTTATGTATTTGAGAGAGAACACGAGCTGGGGGGGAAGCCAAGGTGGAGGGAGATGGAGAGAGAGAATCTCTCAAGCAGACTCCACACACTGAGCACAGAGCCAACGCGGGGCTCAGTCCCACAACCCTGAGATCATGACCTGAGTCAAAACCAAGAGACGCTCAACCGACTGAGCCACCCAGGCGCCCTGCATTCTGTCCTTAATTCATAAGTGTCATTCTTATTTCTCAGGGGATATGGTTTATATTTTTTTGCTTCCAATTACCTTTTTGGCTTGTTTGTTTTTATTTTGATCCCTGATATGTTAAGTGGCTTTCCTTAGATTGATGGCTTTTTAAGAGTAAAAAAACCCATAAAAGTTGATTGGAAGTTCTAGGCACTTAAGAAGGGCTTGCAGACTGTTTCACTAAAGGGATATCTGGCTCAAATATCCTTTTAGGGGGAATTTCCAAGATCAGAAATGTTTTAGGCTGATCTGTTCCCTAGAGAGGAGTTCAACAAGCTTCCAGGAGGATAAAGGTCTAGGAGCCCAGGGGGAGAAGGTGGCGTGAGAGAAATGGGTCTCAGCGTTCAGTCACTCAATCCTGTTTTGTTTGCTTTTTTATTTTTAAAGATTTTATTTATTTGAGAGAGAGAGAGCACATGAGCAGAAAGGGAAAGGGAGAAACAGGCTCTCTGCTGAGCAAGGAGCCCAATGGGGAACTCGATCCCAGGACTCTGGAATCACGACCTGAGCTGAAGGCAGACAGACGCTTAACAGACTGAGCCACACAGGCGCCCCTCAGTCCTGTTTTTAACACAACTTCCCTCCCTCAACTCTGCCTGTGTCCTCCCCACTCTAAAGATCTTATTATCTCTGGGGCGCCTGGGTGGCTCAGTCGTTAAGCGTCTGCCTTCGGCTCGGGTCATGATCTCAGGGTC